ATATTAGTCAAATATTAGTAAACCTAAGTAACATATTAGTCAAATATTAGTAAACCTAAGTAATATATTAGTCAAATATTAGTAAACCTAAGTAATATATTAGTCAAATATTAGTAAACCTAAGTAATATATTAGTCAAATATTAGTAACCCTAAGTAACATTACCTCACAGTATTTCACTTCCCACATCTTTACCCCAACCTTGCCTCTTAGGGCTTCCATAGTTTCTGTATTTTTTAATGTTGTTTTGTTTGTTTGTTTTTTGTTTGTTGATCACTATGAGCAGCATGTTGTGTTTGAAAGGTGCTATCTAAATAAAAGGTTTTATTATAATAATAATAATAATAATAATAATTACGACTCAAGCTGGTGATTAAGATTTATTTTTCAAAAAATAAACAAGCAAACACAATTATGTTGGTATTAATGGATGTGAGTGTAAGCCTCACAGACTGCATCAACAGCATTAATATTATCAACAGCAATGTAATGACCTGAGCTGCATGGAGTATACTTGTACACGGTCTGTCTCCACTTTGTGTTTTTGTTAGTAGTTTTAGCAAATCATGCTGTATTCTGCAGCATGATGCGTCATGCAAATCTCTTCTCATCACTTGTTTTATAGCTGCTACAGGGTGAACAAAGCAATAACATAAATCCGGCTGTCTGCTATCTACACTAGCAAAGGCCTGTCAGGAGGCTTCTAAGTTTGTTGTATGATAAATAAAGTCTTTACAGCTTCATCAAATGTTGTGTCTCTGCATGTTCAAAATGATATTCCCTTCCACTGTTAAGGATGCCGATGTTAATTGAAAAGTCAAACATGGGGCCCTAGAGACTCCACATGTTCCAACATTGGTCTTTAGCTCCTGACACTTAACTTAGAGTATTATGCTGAAAGTGTTGGACGAGAAGGCATCCCTGTGCATATATGTTTCACACTGTCAGGAAATTTGATAAGCGATTTCACTGCTGTCTGGAGTATGAAACGGCACGTTAAAGCCAAGTGAAGAGAATAGTCCTCATTACTCTCCATCAAGAGAGTGAGGCTGCCGCGCCAAATATATAAATGAGAAATTGTTCTAGGTAGAGATTTGATGTGAGGACGGAGAGCTTTCAGAGTGTTGTGTTAACTTTAGTGTGTGTGTGTGTGTGTGTGTGTGTGTGTGTGTGTGTGTGTGTGTGTGTGTGTGTGTGTGTGTGTGTGTGTTCTCACTGTAGGAGCAGCCGTACGCCTCCACTCTGAGGCCCATCCAGCCGCTGTTGTTCCATTGGAGGGGGATGAAGCGCAGGAAACGCGTCCTCACTGGG